TGGTTAGTAACACCTTCATTGTTGGTTAGTAACACCTTCATTGTTGGTTAATAACATTTTCATTGTTGGTTAGTAACACTTTCATTGTTGGTTAATTACATCATTGTTTTTTAGTAATGCCTTTATTGTTAGTTAATAACACCTTCATTGTTGGTTAGTAACATCTTCATTGTTGGTTAATAATCGTTTTCAGTGCAACTACAAGAGATACAAGTATGTGGTAGATATTAAAAGAGAAAATGAATGTGTGATATACAGGGGGGAGCTTACATAATAAAGCTTTCTTTACTCCACCATGAAATAGTTGTATGCCTTATTTACAACTCCAACTTTGTTGCACCATTGAAAAGTGTGTGCATTCTTTATCCAGTAATAAATATTTTTCTTTCAAAGAACAATGTACTGATGTTTGTCATACATAGAAGGTACTTTGTTGTCTTAACAGTTTTATTATTTCAGCACCTAGACATTCTCAAGATGACTTCTTTAGTTTGGTTTCCAGCAAATATTTTGTTGTTTATCAAAATTTGTAATTAAACATTTCGGTAATAAGTTAGAAAAACAAAACAACTTTTACTCTCCAAATAATAATTAAAAATTATCTCAGCCAACGTTTTGCCATTGCGGCTTCATCGGGGCTAATTGTAGCCAAAAATCCACATTAGATGACCGTGAATATTTTAAAGTATCAGCTTGTGTAGGGGTGAATTCTTACTTAACATATATGTGGGTTATCTGTTATTTATAGCTCAAGTAATTTTGAAGTGATAAGAACATTTTACTAGGGGTATGATTATACATTTTTTCTTTTCTTTCAGGAGACCACTCATCATGTGTACCTAGTCATGGAGGTAAGTTTTGTATTCTTGATTTAATAATTAACCTAAATAAATATATAAGCAGCATTTCTCTAGCGAGAAAGGGCTTGGTGTTGAGTACAAACTCTTCAATTCAACCAGTCATGGCACCTACCATTCTATATGAATTACTCAAACTGCTAACAAGTTTCACCATCAGTGGCTTTTTATCAGGTAGTTCAAGTTTAGCTTGGTTATTTCAGAATAGAGAAACTTGGAGAGATCCATCACCTGATTTGATCAATCATGAACATTATCTCGTCCCATTTATCAAGTTAATATTTTGAGGAGATCCACCATTCTCACATATCAATCATGAACAATACATCATCCCATTTATCAAGTTAATATTTTGGAGAGATCCACCACATGACTGATCAATCACGAACAAT